ACGCCATTGATTTTCGAAATGTTTTGTCTCCTTTATAGCTCATTCGGAGCACACTTCTATGCAATGTCTTGGCCGTACATTCGCGCATTCCCGCCCATTTTGAACCACCGTCAGGTGCCTATTTTCGAAGCGCCATTGATTTTCGAAATGTTTTGTCTCCTTTATAGCTCATTCGGAGCACACTTCTATGCAATGTCTTGGCCGTACATTCGCGCATTCCCGCCCATTTTGAACCACCGTCAGGTGCCTATTTTCGAAGCGCCATTGATTTTCGAAATGTTTGTCTCCTTTATAGCTCATTCGGAGCACACTTCTATGCAATGTCTTGGCCGTACATTCGCGCATTCCCGCCCATTTTGAACCACCGTCAGGTGCCTATTTTGAAACGCCATTGATTTTCGAAATGTTTTGTCTCCTTTATAGCTCATTCGGAACACAGTTCTGTGCAATGTCTTTTTTGCTGATTGAATTCTTTCGGAGTTCACGTCGTTAAATAAAGTGATTACGTGGATAGTGTAGGCGTTTGAGGTGACGAAAAATGCTCACCGGTCCCCGAGAAATGTTCCTTCGAGAATAGCCGCACTGATGTACGAGAATCGATTTGAAACATTCGACAGGGTTGGCGTCATGAGCTCATTCTGACAACAAGAAAATATGATAGGAGTGTGAGCAGGTGCCCTTTACAAGTGTTGGGCAGTTAAATCTCAAAATGTTGAATGGCAGTCAATTTCGTTCTACGATAGGGAATCAAGTTTCTTCATCTAGTGATAAGTCGAAGTTCTATCTGTTCCCAGATCACAACGAGTAAAGTATTTGAACCACTTCGGAATCCTGTTTCACCATGAAATCATCAAGAGGATAAAGCGATATCTCCTTTTTGAATTCTGAAGATAAAAGAGGGGCAAATCTACTAAGACGACTGGGTTTGCAAACTAAGTGTCCAACAACATGGAAAGAGAGAATTCTATCCAAAAACACTTCTCACGAAAACTTTCTGAAATGAAAGTATGCTCATGGTTTTGAACAAACTCATTTTGAACTTTGCTAAATGTTTGAAAATGTGAGAAATCGACGCGACCGTACTCTCCTAGCGCTCAGCAGGAGATTGCACTTCGCAAAACAGAAGGGCGAGCTACTTGAAATCAGTGTCTGTCAGTAGCAGCATACTGAAGCAACATGTCGCAAGAGAATCGAATAAAGAAGTCTACAGTAAAAACTTCAAAGGTCCGTGAATGGCAGATGCTCCAGTAATTTTGTCCCACCGTGACTATTCAACATTGTAGAGTAGTACAATGCGGTCTCTCTCCCCCCCCCCCTGCTCCGAGCTCCAGTCTCACCAACCAGGACAAATCACTTACTCCATAAACGTATTCGTTCAAATGTATTTTGTCTGCAGAGTCCGTTTCAACTCCAACTAGAGTTGGACATTCCAAGTACCTTCTTGCTTCTTTCTGAAACATTCGATTACAAGCTCAATATTTGATCTATCGAAATGTTCGGGTTATAAAGCATTGAAGCAAATTTGCTCAGTGATCTAACAACAGCCTCCTTTTCGAAATCAAGGAAACGTCGCTTTGCTGGTTGACTGGAAGAGCGGTCCCAATTGTCTGTCCATTTATATGTAACAGTTGGCGGACTCTCTTGTGAAGGTGAAGTCGGATTCAAAGTTCCAAATCCCTAAACAGTTACCTTTTGCTTTACAAAAAGAACAGGGTACGTAAGGAAGATGCTAATGCTCGAGCAAATATCAATATTATAGACAGGATTGAGCTTACCAGGGTGTGGAGCAGCTCATGGCGAAAGAGGTCTACACCGGCATGAAAATTTTTCCATCGTTTGCCGGGGCAAAATATTTACTGCAGCCGAAGAGAAGAGGGGCCTTAAATATTAATGTTTTTTTTTTTCAAAGTCCAGTCCTCTCTAACATCAGTGGCGTGAACTAACAAGAAGTAAACGAGGAAGAATAGAAAATTATCAAATTTATCAAAGGACGAATTCACGCTGGAAAGGCAACCCATTTCAAATTAAGTTAGCGATGGTGAGTGGTACACTAAAGAAGGAAAAACCATGAGAAACGGCCCAGAACCCGAGAAATGGGACCCCTTCCTTGCCCGTTGATTTGAGCATTGATGCGACTCTCATCGCTGTGCCCTCTTCAACACTACGCTCTCTCACCTATCTAATCACTCGCCACGTATAGACCTGCGGCGAGTGATCAGATGATCGGTGGGCGTGCACTGGCCCACCGCGCCAAGATTGAGCCTTAATAGGTCGCCGAGGTCAACTCCTTCGGTGCCAATTGCGCTTCAGTCCGCACCCTTAGGAGGTCCGCGGGTCCCTCAACTAGGTGAATTACTCCTTCTTCGATCCTTCATTCTAATCGTGAATTCGTCCTTCAAAGTTTATTTACAACATTGCCGAAGTAAGCTGCAACCCAGCTCAACCACTGCAAATATTTTGACTTCAACTGCGGAGATTGCGAGAAGGCAGCTCACTAGAATTCAATGTAGATTTGGTCAGTGTCAGGGTCAAAGATATAGAAAATTCCATGAGAAGCGGACTATAACGCGAGAAATGGGAATCCTTCTTTGCCAGTTAATTCGCGAATTGATGCGACTCTCATCGCCCTTTTCAACGCTAATGCTCTCTCTCTCGCTGAACGGCTCTTTCTGCTCGCTGCGCTCACACGCCCAACCCTACCCATCAGACAGGTGGAGGGTTTAGGCGGTCGGTTGAGGCCGGCACGAGGCCGCCCAACCCTTTACCATCAGGACGTAGCGGGTTGGGTCGTTGCGGAGCGCACAGGCTAAGGCCCTACTAGGCAGAGTGAATATGCGTCGAGGGAAGACTCGACAGGTGGGGTCGTACCTTAGTTGGCGGTCAGTCAGAACAGTAGTGGTCTCGCTGGCTGCAGATAGGTTAAGAGGTGTGGGTCGGGTTATAGTAGCCCAGCCAGAAAATGAAAATATCCGAAAAAAACATGATATTAAATTTTCTTTGCAGGTTCAGTCGCTCCATTCCTCCACCTTCATGAGAAGGGCGTATTTGAAGGCAGTACAAAGAATGAAAGTGCATCCCCGCAAAGAAGACTGCCACATGTGCGCACGCGCTGCAAAGGCACCTCCTCTGCCTATCGCTCGCTCCTTCTCCCTTAATACCTCGCTGAGAATGACACTGTTGTTAGGGACCCTGTCGCAAAAACGACAACCGTGAAGGAAAAGCCCTGGGCAAATGAAGTTGTTCTTTAGGTTGTAAGGAGTTACGAAATGCGTTTACTACAATGCAACTGTCTGTCAACTGGTCGGGGTCAGGTCCATGCCCGCGCGGCTGCAAACTCAACTGGTCACATGATCATATGACACCTTCGAATCGATTCTGCAACTTCGAGTGAGGTCGGATGCATGGCCTATACTCAGACAAAATTCGATGATGACGATTGCCCCTTTTCCTATTGCTTATGTTGGGAGGATGTTTTCTAGACCCATTTCAAGCGTTGCCAACAATTACACTTGCAATGGTGAAGAAGGGAGCGGATTTTCAGGTGGCCGGATCCGTCCTCGATACATACTCGACGCAGATATCTTCTCAACTAGGAAATGTAGAAGAAAGCTAAGAAGACCATCAGAAAGCGCAAACCTTCCGCTTTCCAAAACTATCTTCCCTTTTTCAGGATCTTACGTTTAAGAGAGATATTGCTCTTGAAGTGGCAAAAACTCGCGTGAAAATTTCGGCCTCCTCGACATTTACTCGACGAAATTTGAGAGACCCTATCTTTCTGCATGGAAGGCTTCCAGAGCAATTTCAATACTTCTTGGAAACGCGAAATCCAGCTCTATCTAACCCTACCTCAAACTGCTTCAAAGGTTATGAAATGGAGGAATGCAACCTTTTCATCGAGGGTGTAGATTTCGACGGTTTTTTTTCGGGATTTCAGCAAATCTGACCCAGTGACAATCGCGCCGCAGCTGCCGTTGAATCGGCCGTTGATTGATACACTCGGCTGTTTCGATATACTCAAGCAGGAATCAAGATTAAATCGCAACCCGTGCCTTCAGGATTTCTGTGCATTTCTGAACGAACCTGACTTTGAGGTCACACAAAGTTAATGCCTCTTTCCTCGAGTCGATATTTCAGTAAATACACAAAAGTGCAGCGATGAAGCGTCTATAGCATTATTTTGCAGGATTTTTTTGATTTGTTTTGCAGGATTTATTTTAATTGAATTAATTTGCTCTGTTAGAGGGGGTCGTGCCAGGATCTCGATTTCGGGGGGGGGGGGTCGTACCTCTGCGACCACGTACTCGACACGATTTTCACCCTGCCTACTAGGCCGTTACAGGTACCATCTCCGCTGCTAAACGCGCATCGTCCCGAACCCTTAGAGAGCCGCCTGCTTTTCGACCATGTAGGTATCAGGGTCGATGAGTACTGTCCTTTTTCTCCAAGAAGGAATTTTTTCTCTTAGAACCCGTTTTTCGCTCCATGTTGCACACTATTCAGACCATAACTGCCTTCTCTATGTTGACTTTAAGGCTTGTGAATTGGGAGATCAGTCGACGAAAACTAGCCAAACCGGCAACTAATTCTGACTTTGTCTTCCATAGGAGAAATCGACCAATCCAAAAAGGCTTTTCTTGGTTCTTTTCACAGTGGTTTTTCTGGCTGACTGATAAGAGCAGGCGGTTCACTGAATTCAAATCACCCTCTGGACACTTGTTTCCTCAGGCTTAGTCATAACGTATTTTAAACATCTCATGGTTATTGAACATCCTTGAGGGTCTGAATTCTACGAGATAATGGGTTCTGGTGGAATGAACCAAATTCGAAAAAAGCCGCGGCAAAAATTCTTTACCCACGTAATAGTGGAATGTTCAAAGGAGCTTGTGGTCAAATAAGTGGCACATATTGGTCAATTTCTCCGAAAAACGGAGTCAGAGCTACATAGTTGTTCGGCTTGGTCAATTTTCATCACTATGACCTCCTGAATTATAAGCTTGTCCTTCAACCAGTAACCAATGTAGAAAATAATAAGAAGCCTTTGTAGAGCAGACACTTGTGCTTCGAATGATTTATAACGTTATGCAAAAACATGGAATCTCAGAGGGAAAATTTCCATTCCATTCCAACTTTGGATAATTTCCCGCGTTTTTTTTTACCTCCGACCTTATTGTGGACCAGTTGGCGCAGCACGCGTTGCGCGCGCAACACAGTTCTGCGGCGATATGGGATGGTGCGGCGTAAATTCTCAATTTGGCCCGATACACTACGAATATTTGACTTCTGAGCTAGGTTCTATCCGCTCCATAATTAATAGCTTTAACCTCTCCTTCTTCGCAACTATTATCCGCTTTTTCCCGGTCTCCGGACTGCCTCTAGACCGATTTATAGATCTCGTGTAACTCTGTCCTATTTCGGTGCGTGTCACCCATCTTCTTCTTCCTTGCCAATCTCTCCCACGTTTTCTCCGGTCTCTGAACTGTTCCTGAGCGTTTTATATTCTTGGCGGCACCGCGCCCACTTTAGTGCAAACTCCACTCATTAATAAAAATTGACTTGCTTCCGTCCCCACACTGCTTCCGAACCGATTTTTAGGTTTGCGAGCAAGCTTCGCCCACTTT